ATCAATTCTTGGATGCATGCATTAATGAGAATAAGAAGATCCAACCCTGAGGTCTTTTTTTTTTTAATTATCGTTTTAACGATCATGAATCTTTTGTATTCTCTTTCCTGATCTCTCCGTGCAGAGTTTCCTTGTTTATTTTCTTGGCTTCAATTAATTTTTAGTTCTAATGGCAAAGGGTTACACCTATCAGTCAGTGTTCTTTGAGATTTAACAATGAATTATGATAAGATTTCGTGAATATATGTGTACTTTTTTTATTTTTTTAATAACTGAGAATGTCTAGACCAGTTTACGTGCACTTCAACTAATTTTTTAGAAGCTTAAAATTATTAACTGGGTAAAAGTTCTAGTGACCACATTTTTTAGCACAGAAAATCAAACTTAAGAACTCTTGAAAAATCTATAAAAGAGCCCCAATTGACTGTTCGGCCACCTAGTAACAGTGATATATATATGTACTTTTATAAGAAAACGTTTAATATTTATTAATTCTAACCTTGAACTATATAAACCGCACATTCTTCATATTAAAAAAGAGTGAATCTCTTGAAAAGTGTCCTGAAAAAAAACCAATTTCCGGAACTCCAATTTTGACTAAACAATCAATAAATTCGAACAATATAAAAATTCAATTTTTGAGGCCTAAAATTAATTTAATGGCCAGAAAAGCTTCAAAATGTTCAGGCTTCTTGTAATCCAATCCACCAACTAAATTATAAATTTATTGGATCTCGATAATCTCCTTCCTAATAAATAATTTTGGTTGCAGCCTCAAATTCATGCTGATGTTGGATTATTTTAAGAAGAGAATCTTAGAATATGTCATTATTCATGTATTCATAAATTAATAAGGTTTGTGTTATTTACATCAAAATTGGAAAGTATTACATATCGTTTAAAGCGTTTTGACTTAGGTATTTTCCTGGGACGTATGAAATTAACCTTAAATTTATAATCGATGTTCTAGGTTATCGCATCATTTTATCATACAAAATATCCATGTGCAGGGATGTCAGACAAGTTGAGCAGCTCGCGAGTCGGCTCGACTCGACTCATGGTGAGTCGAGTCGACTCAACCAAAACTCGGTGGGGTGAACGAGTCGAGTATGAACAAGGGGAGGCTCGACTCATGAGCTCACAAGCCTAGTGTGGCTCGAACTCGTCGTAGGGACCTTTGGGTTACTTTTATAAACCATGTGGGGCAGATAAAAATTGCACTTTTTAAAAACGTCAAAAAACGACATTTACCCCCAACTAAAAAATAGTGAAACACGACATTTTCTCCCCCAAATCGCAAACACTAACCAAACAAACCCTAAACCCCTCCACCATGAATTAGCCAATTTCATCCTGCCTTACTGTCGTCACCGATCAAAAATTCGATCGGAGAAATGATGATTCCATCCCACAAACATTGAAACAATTTCTTCACCTCCAAATCAACGCAAACCCTAAACCCCCAAATCCACTTCAACCCTCAAATATTTGGTCCACCGTGAAAGTGACGCCCCTAATCACATGTTCTTGCTGTCGCCAGTTGAAAATTGAAAAAAGAATTTGGTGACTAAACTGTTTTTGCTAAAAATATTTCATGAGCTGGGAAGAATTTTAATATGTATCTCAGTGAGCTTTGAATCCATTTTGGTTTTCTTGAACGTTTAATTTCTAACACATTGATGAATTGGGTCAATGCTAACAGTTCTTCATTTTCTGTTTCAGGAGCTCGCGAGTCGACTCAAGCGTGAACTCGAGCTCGATCCTATAGCACACGAGCCAAGCTCATTAAGCTAAAAACTTGGCTCAGCTTGGCTCGTTTACACCTCTATCCATGCAACATATACATGTGACCCACTAAAAACTTTTTTTGCGTGTAAAACTAGATAGCCTTTCATTTTCTTTTGACAAAGGGTAGGGCGTGGTTGCATATTCTTTTGTAAAGGAAGGTGGGATGTGCACTAAAAATAAAGTTTTACATTTTCTAAAGTTTGAAAGATGATCAAAACCTTTTTCAAAGTACTTGAAATAGAGGTTCCTTTTCTCCTTGTTTCAGGCAAAAAACTAAAAGAAAAATAAAGGTTTGTTGTCCTTGATCTATAGTACATACTCTAAAATACCATTATTATCCTTTTATCTTCTTATTTCTTTTCCCCTTTTCCTAACAAATAATGATAAGAGCTGGGAAGAATTTTAATATGTATCTCAGTGAGCTTTAAATCCATTTTGGTCTTCTTGAATGTTTAATTACTAACACATTAATAAATTGGGTCCATGCTGACAGTTCTTCATTTTCTGTTTCAGGAGCTCGCCAGTTGATTCGAGTTTGAGCCCCTTTTTCTTGACTCGACAGACTCGAGTGCGAACTCGAGCTTGATCCTGTAGCACACGAGCTGAGCTCATTAAGCTAAAAACTCGGCTCAGCTCAACTCGTCTACACCCCTATCCATGTGACATATACACGTGACGCACTAAAAACTTTTTTGCGTATAAAACTAGATAGTCTTTCATTTTCTTTTGACAAAGGGTAGGGCGTGGTTTCATATTCTTTTGTAAAGGAAGGTGGGATGTGTACTAAAAATAAAGTTTTACATTTTCTAAAGTTTGAAAGATGATCAAAACCTTTTTCAAAGTACTTGAAATAGAGGTTTCCTTTTCTCCTTGTTTCAGGCAAAAAAACTAAGAGAAAATGAAAGGTTTGTTGTCCTTGATCTCCTATGATCTATAATACATAGAGGGATTATTATCCTTTTATCTTCTTATTTCTTTTCCCCTTTTCCTAACAAATAATGATAAAGGTTAGTAACAATAATCCCTCCACTTCTTTTTGGTAACTGTGAGGGTTCGGGCCAGCTTGCATATATTGCAGCTAGTCACTTGAGGTCCTAAAGTTAACGATCGAGAGGGAAATTAAACTCAAGACGTCTTAAGTAATGCACCAAAAAGTTCTTCTCACATCACCCAGCCACCCAGGGGTGGTTTTTTATAACCCCAACAATATTCCCCTCGAGGTATACTTAATTAACAAAATCTCCTTATGGTTATAAAAGTAACATAAATCATCCATGCTTTTAACTTTTTGGTGTTAAAATAATCAATAGAGGAGCAATTAAGTTAATATTTATGAATTCATCATATTATAACTTCTAATGATGAAATAACGGCTCATTGATGATAAGAGGTTTTATGTTAATTCTGAAATCTCGTAAAGAAATTTGTTATTTGATTAAATATCAAAAGTGTCAAATAATCTTCTTTTCACCCATTTTTCATTTTAACTTCACATGCTTCAAAGCTTATTTTGTCTTGTCTCTATTTCCATATGATTAATTCATTTATGTATAAAAAAAAATAAATAAATAAATAAATAAATTGGGATCTATTTTTGAAAAACTTACATTTGACACAGTTGATTAAAACTGGAAGGATGAAATTGTAATTAACCTTCACTCATGTGCATAAAGGAGACATGTGATTGAACTGATTTTTTTGTCTTTTAATAACTTACAGAAAATGGATCGCCAAGACCCACCAAAGTAGACTTTTCTTGGGCTTCTCAAACTTATAAAAATGAATAAATAATCCACCATTCCGATTCTCAAAAAGGATATTTCAAATCTTAATTTAATATATAAATTTGCGTTTGTAATAATCATCGCCCTAAGATATAATCAAACAACAGAATTACCTTTGTAGTTACAGTAATAACATAAATTCTCTTACCATTTTGTTTTAAAATAAATGGTAAAAGGGTAATATAGTAAATATATATTTCTAAAATCTTAAGGGGAATTTTGTTAAGTATTATCCCTGCATTAATTATTAAACGTGTTGACTTGTATCCACGTACTCAGTGTCTGTCACGCACTCGTACCGATAAATAAAGTAGGATAAGAAAAGAAACACGTAACATCCCGTTTCGGGTCCCATGTGGCACGAATTGATCAGACCGGTGATGTCCTGTTTTGGTTAACCATGCACTAATTTTCCAAGTCAAAATTTATATTTTCTTGGTATTAATTAATCGGAGCCATTGAAATAGTTGAAAACAAGTGTCCACATTGTCTTTCTTGTGCTTGTCGAATGTCGAATTCGGGTAGAGTGTACAACACGGCCTACAATTATCAATCATCGAGTCTATTTTGGTGATATAATATGGGCCCGCAATTCTTATGATTTGGTTGATGGGTCCATTTTTTTTTTAGTTAGTTGTGGGACCTAATAATGCAACTGCGCACATGGGATCACGAATTGGGGCAAGTGGAAGGCATTATGTGTGATGGACCGCTTCAATTATTTAGTTGCTTGTTCAAAGTAAGTATAGTGAAATTGTGAATTATTAAAGACTCGTCTGCCACGTAACTATATTTTTGGATATATAATTCAATTATTGGAGTTGATGATTGATGTATGTCAATTTTTTTTTTAATTTATGCTGAAATATGTCAGGATCATGTTGTAGATGTATGTTGATGCGAGATTTTGACACCAACTAAACGTCTATGTGAAATATTGAGCTAGTCCGGAAGACACACACAAATGATAAAAATGAGAGTAGAAGAGTGACAAGACAGTATTTAAAGTGGTTCGGATGCTTTAAGAAAACAAGTCATACGTCCACTGATGTTATATTAACGATAACGAACAGGTCGCAGTCAGTGAGTTGACTTTACAAGTGATTTTACAAGAGAGAGAGAAAGCGAGTATATGCTGTTTCTTTGAGAGATTAGCTAATCCCGAAATTGAGAGAGGAACTCTCAATTTATAGTAGGATGGATTAAGATGATGATTGCTGAATCAGTGAGTTGGTGAGATTATTCATACAAATCTTCTTTTATGTCCCATTGTATACCTTTCAGAGCGATTTGCGCGATTTGGTGCATGTAATGGACACGTGGAAACTCTTCAGCTCTTGGCTGGTCTAGCGCGCACCCACTATACTGATAGAAGCAGGCTGCTCCTGCGTCATGTGACTCGGCTGCGAGTTTCCCAGGTTTTGACTTTTGTATGCTGACTTGGCTTACGTCATCACTGCTTTCTCAAGGCGTAACAATGTAGGTTATGTGTTTCTCAATAATTCTTTATTTCTGATTTGTATATACATACATAGTTGTGACGAATGAAAGGTAGTCTGGTAGTGCATCCCCACCTACAGAAGAAAAATCTATTGAAGATTGCATGATAATAATTCTATAGCCTGGCTATATATGAGGTCTGTTTCTTTTGGTAATAGATTTTAAAAAAATAAAACTACTCAAAGTTTGAATACTGTGTTATGGTAGCATCGGATTAGATGTGGGTGGCTCTCTCATTTTCCAGACCGTTGATTTTTGTTGATTGGAAGCATTCGCTTTCAAATAATTAGTTCCAGATGATTACGCAATCATGGGCATGCATTAGTATAAGGAATTCTATCATGACCACAATCATGATGCTGCTGAGAAGACAAGTGTCTAATTTTGGTACGATATTCGGTGTGGGAAGTAATTTTTTATGGGATCTATGTTGACCAATCATCATATCTCTTCCACTCATCTCCCTTCTTCAGATTTTATGGAGAAACCAATTATACTAGAAAGAATGAATCCAATTACAAAACAACATTTACATCTGGACAATAAATAAATAATTCTTTATTTATTACATTTCAGTACTTGGACTGGCAGTAATACCCATTTATGAACCAGTAGCCCACGTCCTGAGTCTCCGATTCTCTCTTCAAATCCATCAGGCAGCCATTCATTTGCTCTAAACTCAGAGTTTATGTCAAAGCCTAATGGTGGCCTAACCACCCAAATGAAATTCTTGCCACAACCCTCTAATCCCATTGCCAATTGCATCATATTCGGTGCAGATACAGTGTTCTGTGATCCAAATGACACATAGAGAACGGAACAAGAAGGCTTTTTGTGAAGCCAATTTTTACCTTCCTCCGGGGAGATTCTGAAATCTCTTCTGCTTCCAGCTTGGCTTCCTGGAGCCAAAAGAACAGGCCCAATAGGCCAAACCTGTCGCCCAAATTTTCTAGGCAAATACATAAGTCCAAGCTTGTCAAGCTCCTCCACCGTGTTGAACAAAATTCCATCAGCTTTACTACAGTAACAAAACAGCTCTTCCCTTCGAGACACTGTAGTAGATTCGCTTCCATCCACAACTCTTAAAACTTTTTCCATCTGAGTAACATGAAATGTTGAAGCTTCAGGAAAATCAGGCAACACAAATTCATAAGAATCCGTGTTCCGGAGAAGTAAATTTAGCCAGAAAGAGTAGTAACAAGCAAAGCCAAAACCACCACCAATGAAAAATATAAGATGAAACACCCCAAACTCTTGAGCTATCTCATAACAACATCCTAAGAACATGTCTGAGATGATGCAAACTGGTTTTTGTCCGTTTTGTTGATGGATAAGATTAGAGATAAGATTCGTGAAACGAGGTTTCAAAGAAAAAGAAGCTCGAAAGAGATTTTGAAAAAGATGATATGGAAGAGAATCCGTTGAATATGTGTCTCAAGATGCTGCTGAAGTGTTGCTGACTTGGAAGTGCTGAATAGATTGATGAGGTGGCAGCTGGAAAATAAGTGTTTCAGTTGCTGTTGAATAAGTCAAGTTTTGAAACTGTCAAACTAGCTGTTGCAAGAAATTAGGCATTAAGTTTGTTAGCTGCTCTTCATGTAAACGTGCAGCATTTGTTTAGGCTTTTTTTCATGTTTTTTCTGTTGCATTTACTTGTATAAATTGCACTTTTCATTCAATGAAATTGTAGACAAATAGCAGTCTATTTTCTTCCTATTTTTGCTATCATTCTGCTATTGCTCTTGTGTAAAACAACAACAGAATCCATGTTTTCAGAATTAGGAGGGGGGTCATGATCTGAGCTGTTAAAAGGGATTTCAAGGAGATGAATGGAGGAGTTTGGAGGGAGAGATGACGTGAGATTCTTGATATTTAAAGCGGTGTTAACAAAAGTTATGGTGTATTTGTTTGTATTTTCAATACGAAGGGCTAATGCTAGGAAAGGAATGATATGGCCTTGACCCATGTAGGGAAACATTACTATGTTTTCTTTTGGTTCCGCCATTGTTGTTGTTGTATTGATCAGGATTATTGAGCTACAATTGGAGGTTGAAGATGCAAAAGCCAGGGGTGGCGTTGGCTATATATATAACTGCACTGAGGTCATCCTCTTAGTTTTAGAAATTAACAATGTTAACTAATATCTTTCTCTATTAGATTTAAAATTTGACAGGGAATAGGGATTGGCACCCAACTTATTAGGGCCGAGGATTAAGGATGAGTATAAAATTCCAACCCCGAATTAATTTACAAATATTGAATAGAAAATACTTTTTACAAGTGTTGTTAGATGAACCCTTAAAGAAACACTAGTAATTTTGTTGACATACCCAAAATATTTTCATAAGGTATTGTTATACCTTATGAAATTATTGGCTCGACTCGGCTCATTGAAGGGGGAAGCCGAGTTTGAACCTGGCTCGCGAGCCCAGCAAAAAAAATAAAGTTTTCCTTATCCATGATAAGTATATCTAAATATCTTCAAACTTAGAAGGTAACCAAAAGACGGTGTTGATCAAGGACTCTGACTCGGCCATGTTGACAAAAGAAGAAAAACAAAGAAGGGAAAAGAAAAGAAAAGAAGAGGGTTTGGTTTGGTTGTGAGAGCTGTGTTGTGCTGCGTGAAGAAGATTTAATAAGAATAATATTTTGAGTACTAACGGATGGGTACTAATTTGTGTACTAACTAAAGCATAGTACATGTACTATACGCATAGTATGGGTACTATGTTTTAATTAGTATACAAATTAGTACCCATCCGTTAGTACCCATAACATCACTCATTTAATAATGATGGAGCTTTGAGTTTGAGAGAGAGAGAGAGAGGGACCCAACAAAAGAAGAGTAAAGAAAGACAAAGAGGGATGAGACAGTTTCAAAAAAAAAAAAATCGAAACAAAATACACAGATATAGAGAAAGAGAATGCGGGACCCAACAAAAGAAGAGTAAATAAAGAGAAAGAGGGATGAGGCAGTTTAAGAAACAAAATAGCTGGCACGTAGCAGGACTGAAGGAGCCGCTTGCCATCTGTTCATTTTTATTGGGTTTAAAAAATGCAGCCAACCACCAGCATCTCAAAACCACCTCTGAGAGACCACACGAAACACTCTCACAGCCACACACCAGCTTAACGAAAACTGGGAACCACCAACAAACCAGCCAGCAGAGAAGTCACACACCAAGCACCCATCTGCTGCAAAAACTCCAAGAACAAAAAGTCCAGTAGCCTCCAAGCCTTGCCTCCTCCTTCCATGACAGAACCCACAAAAAAAACATAATCCCAAATCACTCACCAACAAAGCCGCATGTCCCACCTTCCAACCACCAACAAAAAAGACAAAACCAAAAACAAATCGCACAGCCCACCCAAAAACAATGCCATCACCAACAACAACCACTAACAAGGTTCTCTAGTGAGAAGACAAAAGAGGAACCTCACAGAAAAGCAAAATGGCAGCACACGAAACCCCAACCGCATCTTCACTTGTTTACCAAATTTGAATAACACTTTGCTTGATTTGTTTGGTTTTACTGCTCTCCCCTTCCTCCCATCTTCTTCTTCTTGTTTTCAGTTTGATTTGGTTTTTAATATGTTTTATAATTCAACTAGTATTATCTTAAATTTAAAATGTGGATCTCTAGAATGAGAAAATTCCAGACTTCAAACAAAGTAAATATTTACAGAGTAGGGGCTAGAACATACATATCAACCAATGAAAGTTTATTTGAATCGTGAAACCTTTTCCAGTTCTAGGGGGGAGTTCTTGATAAATTTTAAGAGGTTTCCATAAGAAATCAATGTCTTAGTCTCATGAGATTGTAACACCTTTTGAAAACATTGGGTGTCACCAGTATTAAAAAGTTCTTTGGGTATGATTCGAATATTAATGATGAGGTCAGGCTGAATACACAATCTTATCCTCATCCTTGAATTCTGGATCTTGATCCTCAGCCCAAATGACATGGGGGCCATCTGTAATGCGGATTTTTTCATCCCAAGTCAGAAGGGAAAGTTGATCGAGAAAGGGGTGACATTGCTAATTTCTAAAAGGGAGAACGACATTTTCCCACCCAAGGTTTGGCGAAACAACCGTTTCCCACCCATCAAGTTTCAAAATGACACTTTCCCACCCTTCGTCAAGTTCTATTAGTGTTTTTTGTTAATATTTGACTAAAAAACAAAAATACCCTTAAATAGTTTATTATAAATTAAAATTTAGTTAAGTGAAAGTCTTTACTCAAGTGTAAAGATACATTTTTTTCTTTGTTTATTTAATTAATTATGAATATTAACTATTAAGATTTTCTATGTTAATTAGTAAAAATAAAAAACATTATATTAGTAGATTATTAAATAATAGTGATGAGATGTTTATGATATTATAAATAAATAAATATTAAGGTTATTTAATTTTAAACAATTTCATAGCATTACTCTTAACTTTTTAGTTGGGGTTAACTATTTTTTATTTTTTTATTTTTTAATATATTACTTTTTGGCTAATTCAAAAAAAAAAATTATAAAGTCAAATATTTAAAGGTATTTTCGTCTTTTCAGTGAAATATTAACAAACAAACAAAACAGATTTTGATGAAAGGTGGAAAAGTGTCATTTTGAAACTTGAAGGGTTAGAAATTATTTTTCCAAACTTTGGGTGGGAAAAGGTTATTCTCCCTTACTTAAACAAAGAAGGTGAAAAAAACTTACCAAAGCTTAATTTATATTTACCGCACGCCAAATATTCCTGTCTTCTTCATCCTTCTTCACCACTTCTTACTCTCTGAACCTTGAAACAACAACAACAATGGCGGAACCAAAACAAAACATAGTAATGTTTCCCTACATGGGTCAAGGCCATATCATTCCTTTACTAGCACTAGCCCTTCGTATAGAGAAAACAAACAAATACACCATAACTTTTGTTAACACCCCTATGAATATCAAGAAACTCACCTCATCTCTCCCTCCAAACTCCTCCATTCATCTCCTTGAACTCCCCTTTAATAGCTCAGATCACGGCCTCCCTCCTGACGCTGAAAACATGGATTCTCTTCCATATCATCACTTCATCACTCTCTTTCAAGCTTCTATGTCTTTGAAACCCCATTTCAGGAAACTTGTCTCCAATCTTATCCATGAACGAAATGGAGAAAAACCAGTTTGCATCATCTCAGATATGTTTTTAGGATGGTGTAAAGAGATAGCTCAAGAGTTTGGAATATTTCATGCTATATTCATCAGTTGTAGTGCCTTTGGTTCTGCGTGTTACTACTCTTTGTGGCTAAATCTACCTCACCGGAACACGGATTCTGATGAATTTATGCTCCCGGATTTTCCTGAAGCTTCTACCTTTCATGTCACTCAGTTGTCAGAAGTTTTAAGAGTTGCGGATGCGAGTGACCCTACGACAGCGTTTCGAAGGAAAGAGCTGATTTCTCCCTGGAGTAAAGCTGATGGAATTTTGTTCAACACAGTAGAGGAGATTGACAAGCTTGGATTGATGTATTTTAGTAGAAAATTAGGCCGTCAGGTTTGGCCTATTGGGCCTGTTCTATTGGCTCCAGGAAGCCAAGCTCGAAGCAGAAGAGATTTCGGAATCTCCCCGGAGGAATGTAAAAAATGGCTTGACAAAAAACCTTCTTGTTCAGTTCTCTATGTGTCCTTTGGATCACAGAACACTATATCTCCATCAAATATGATTCAAATGGCAATGGCTTTAGAAGCTTGTGGGAAATTTTTCATTTGGGTTGTTAGGCCACCATTAGGCTTTGACATAAACTCAGAATTTAAGGCGAATGAATGGCTGCCTGAAGGATTTGAAAAGAGAATCAAAGACTCGGGGCGTGGACTATTGGTTCATAAATGGGCACCCCAGGTGGAGATTTTATCTCATAAATCTTTATCTGCATTTTTGAGTCATTGTGGGTGGAACTCTTTGGTTGAAGCATTAAGTTATGGCGTGCCGATTCTTGGGTGGCCACTGGTGGCGGAGCAATTTTATAATGTGAAGTTGCTGGAGAAGGAGATTGGAGTTTGTGTGGAGGTTGCAAGAGGGAGGAGTTGTGAGGTTTTTCATGAGGAAATAGTGGCGAAAATTGAGATGGTGATGAATGAGAGTGAGAAAGGAAAGGAAATTAGGAAGAAAGCTTTGGAAGTGAAGGAGATAATTAAGAATGCTCTTAAAGATGAGGAGAATTTTATGGGTTCTTCCATGAAAGCCATGGATCAATTCTTGGATGCATGCATTAATGAGAATAAGAAGATCCAACCCTGAGGTCTTTTTTTTTTTTTTTTAATTATCGTTTTAACGATCATGAATCTTTTGTATTCTCTTTCCTGATCTCTCCGTGCAGAGTTTCCTTATTTATTTTCTTGGCTTCAATTAATTTTCGGTTCTAATGGCAAAGGGTTGCACCTATCAGTTAGTGTTCTTTGAGATTTAACAATGGATTAGGATAAGATTTCGTGAATATATGTATACTTTTTTTTTTTTTTTTTTTAAATGATCGAGAATGTCCTAACTAACTTA